GTAGTGTGACATTACAGTGATAAACTGCTTAAAACAAATTGTGTTATTGTTTTATTCATAGTCATAATATAGATGGTTTGCACATTTATTCTTTATAATGAAAGTTATTTCTTAAAACAATGCCAAAACTTTTATTTAGAGAACCTTATGGATTATTTTAATTTTAATTTTAAAACATACAAAACTATATGAGGTTCACTAGATAATATTATTATTGCATCTAAATTCGATAATAGGTATTTGCTCCAATATTAATCATAACAGAGTTAAATCTGGACATTTGTCTTGTTACACCCATATTAAGATAGACAACACATGCGGGTGTAATATCCTCTTAAGAGGATGTTATTGCAGTATAGCACTATTTGTTTTCTCCCTTTGACTCTTGTGCAACAACAATTTATGGTTAGCAGAACCAACCCTGTGTTTTTACTTTAAATATTAGAATGAATTCACCTATTATCAAACTTTAAGAACATTACTTATGTCCATAGTTCCATACATTAGTTATTTTATATTAAGTTATAAGAGAGTGAAATTTTACAATTTAAAAATGCTTATACATTTTAGAGAAATTGAAAAATCTTTAAAAAGCTAACATTGGTACATAGTAATTTTCTTAGATAAACCTTGATAATGGGTGAATTCACTCAATATTACAAGTTACAACACTCGATTAGTTCTGGTCAAGGTCCAAGATCTTAGTCTGTGGTTCTGTTCTACCATGTTGTGGATAGACATGCTCTTCCACATCATATTTTTGGCTSTGGTACAGAACTAAATCCGAGCACCAACATTTTTCTAATAGATTTTGAAGTAATTATTTTAATYATTTACATGAACGCTGGGCCCCAATACTATGGGTCCTTCTGATCGTAATTTCGTATCGTTGTGGTTAGAAATTCTTGATATTAATATCATGCACGATTTAAGATAATTATACAGGTATCGGCCTATAATATTATGCMAGACTAAATAAATTATTTAGTAGTACCTCAGTAATTTTAAAATTATTTAGTCATGATATTCATTTTGCAAGACTGTCAAACCGAGTCTCCAAATCAGCTGTGGAACTGCTGACTGACGCTATTCAGTAGCATTTAACTGGAATTGACCTATTAAAATAACTAAGATTTAAGTCTGTTGCACCCTTAGATCATATACTATAATATGTATATGATCTAAGGTTGCACCACAGAATACAGAATATATAAGACCGTGGTGGCGACTGGCGTGGTTGCGTGGTATCAATCCATCTTGCAGAATCTTAAATTGTGATATCAAGGCTATATAGTATATAGTAAGTTGTGGTGATAGTATCTTTGATAACGGTGTATGGTATATGGTTTTATATCTGYGGTATAACCTCAACTTCATCGTAAACTTTATATTATTTTAGGTTATGTGATTAGTTTGTTGTCAAACTCAAATTCGCTTAATCATTTTTCGAAGACAAAACATAATATACTAATATACATTATACGCTAGTCACCGTCTACTCAGTTATAACAAATACAATACTTTGTATTGAGTATCTTATATGTTTAAAGTAGTGAGTTTCTCCAAACAATATAGTTGTTAATGATTTCACATTAGTTTGTAAATTTAAAACGTAACAGTTACCAACAAAACAGGTATGTTATATWTCATCCAGTTTGTAAGAGTTTAAATACTAACATATTACATTATCCCTTTGTCTTTAACTTATTCGATTTTGTTTTGCGGATAATTCACAAGTCATGGATCGTCTATTGAGGTTGGGCAGTGGTATTCCTTTGGGACAAGGGTCAGCTCCTGCTGCCGATACTCCTGTTGTAGACACTGCCGAACAAGTTTATGTGTCGTCATTGGCATTGTTAAAAATGTTGAAACATGGACGTGCTGGAGTACCTATGGAAGTTATGGGTCTGATGTTAGGTGAATTTGTGGACGATTACACTGTTCGTGTTATTGATGTATTTGCTATGCCCCAAACTGGAACCGTAAGAATGCGTACAATTATTTTGTTCTTCACTTGATGTTAATAATTGACTATTTCAGGGTGTGAGTGTTGAAGCTGTAGACCCTGTATTCCAAGCAAAGATGTTGGATATGTTGAAGCAAACAGGCAGGCCAGAAATGGTTGTAGGATGGTATCATTCACATCCAGGGTTTGGCTGTTGGTTGTCTGGTGTAGATATCAATACACAACAAAGTTTTGAAGCTCTCTCTGAAAGAGCTGTTGCTGTTGTAGTTGACCCAATTCAAAGTGTTAAAGGTATTACTTTGTATAGTGTTTATCATTTTAAATTTTAGGTAGATTACTGTTGAAGATAAATTAAATCACATTATTTGTTACATTAAATATATTTTTTTTAATTACATTGGCTTTACTCAGCTTATTTTTATCAAGTAGCTTTTTTTCATTCACAAAATAAGGTTTAAAAAATAATAGTACTTTCTTTAATAATGAATCTTTAAACTAGTCCATAACGACTAATAACTAAAAARTACATTGTTAGTGACTAAATATTATACACAAATAAAATATATTAGAATTAATTCCTGGGATCTATATGAATGTTGTTAATTATTATTTATTATCCATAACTTTTGAAATMGTAAATATATTTTATTGGTTTTTAATTTTTCTTGAATATCCTAGGTCTTAGATTTTTCATATGCTTTCTACATTCATAAATTATTTTAATGACTGAAAATACCATGATACTCTATAGAAATTACTTTTAAAAGCTAATTTTGTTTTAATTGCGTTGATTTAAATCAAATGTAATGAAATTATTACAGCATTACCTATTGCCAAAGTAATTTTGATGCAGTAATTTGCGTTATTTTTGTCTGTATGCAAAAAATAAATTAACAATCAAATCTAATAGGTATGGAATGAGGAAATTTTTTTTAATAGTTTCAATTTATTGTTAAATAAAACTGGGTATAATCTTTAATCATTTAAATGAGATTATTTTAAAAGATTTTAGTAAAAATTAACCAAATTTGAAATATTTTGTTAACTTTAATGAAAAATATATTTTGAATTTTCATGGAAGAAGTATTAAAACTTTTTCATCTCACGACTCTTGCTCATTAAAAAGTTTAGGTAATTTCCAAATTTTTAAGGACATAAACTGATATTAAAATATTATTTATTTGATCATCCATTATCAGACAAATAATGTATTAACTATGCATAGATAACCAAAATTTGAAGTTAAATAAAGAATAAATATAATTTTAATTATAGTAGCTTCATTATYATACTTATATTTTCTTTCTATTCTGTWCTGTGGTTTTAAAATTTAAAGTGATTCTTGAATACACCGTTAGAATTCCTCTAGATTGTGATGTTCAAAGTGTAACAACTAAATTTAAAAGTAACATACTAGTAATAGTACACTTGAAGTGATTTTATTAATTCAAGTCTTAAACAAATAAATGTGTCCACAGTTATTAATTATATAAAATGATATTTTTATATTGTTAAAAAAATATAATTTGTAGATTTTCAAATGTTAATGTTACAACAGTATTATTTTTTAACTTAATACTGAAACCAAGTATATTCACATAATATCTATAAGGTGTATACATCATATGTACTATGCCATTAGTCACCAACCTTTTCAAATAATTGAGCTTAATTTTAAGTCTCTGGTGACATCCAGGATAATTTATGTATTAAGGAAGTACATGAAAAATGTAGAAAAAAAATTTTGGTATATAATTAGAAAGAGTGGTTTGTAAACTTGAATCYAATCTACTGTTTGTAATTATTGACTGATATTTGTTCTTTAAGTATTTTATACTCATAAATGTTTACTCGCTTAACCAAATTGWWCCAAAAAATGAATTAATACAACATTCTTCTGTAAATTTGGATACTTTTGCTGACTTGAGTGTTTCCAAAACTCCGAGTTAATCTTGAATACTTAATCATTCTGTTACGTTATTATTTCCATTTCTAAAACKGTTTTATCTAGATTAAACAAATTCCCTGTTTCATTCGCTCATTTTTCAATGTCACCAGAAAATGGATTTAAAATAAACTGTRCAATTGGCTTGAATATTTTAAAGTTTAATTTTCTTTTAAATTTGTATCATAAATGTTGTATTATAATGTCAGTGGTTTGATTATAAATATTTTCAAAATAATTATTGTTTTTTGAAACATAGGGAAATTCTAGACATCACCATGTTTTATTTTATTTTCCTGACCGATTATGGTATAATTTATTTTTGAAACAACCAACTTAAATTTCTAGAAAGATCGACTGGTTGGTGACCGCTAAATTATGGTATAATGTAATACTCTATTCATTGTAAGAATAGGCCTGTTTATTRTATCACACATAACCCTAAGAAGACTGTGTCAACTCTATGGTAAAAGGGTTTTATGACGCATCTTGMCATTGCTTACAAAAGCTCCACTGATGACCGACCTTTCTCATTTTAAATAGAGTATAGGTAAATTCACTTAAATAACTGTATATTTATWAATTAAAAATAGGAATTGCTGGATGTATATTTTGATATGTTTTGTGTTGATGAGACAGAGACTTCAAATGTGGGTATAATAGCGTATTAAACTCTTCCAGACAGAAAATAATCATATGTCTATGAATTTCAAATCAATAAAAAACGAATTTAAATTCTTTTGAAAAAATAAAAAATAATTATTTGGTCTAAAATATTTATCAAACATAGCATGTGTGCACTAATTTTAATTATTTACAATTTTTTGTTTTTTTTAATTGTTAAGATTAAAATTTAACTTGCTGTTTAATATTATTTAGGTAAGGTAGTTATTGATGCCTTCCGTTTAATCAACCCTAATATGATGGTACTTGGCCAAGAGCCAAGACAAACTACTAGCAACTTGGGACATTTACAAAAACCTTCAGTTCAAGTCAGTATGATTTTGATTTTTTTGATAATAATTGTTGATTTATAAATTGCAAAAAATGTAAAGGTTAGTTGTAACATCTTATTTTTCATTTTAGGCTCTAATTCATGGTCTTAATCGTCATTACTATTCCATCTCAATAAACTACAGGAAAAATGAACTCGAACAAAAAATGTTATTGAATCTACACAAGAAATCATGGATGGATGGAATGGCACTTGAAGATTATGAAAAGCACTGTGATACTAATCGAACTACAGTTAAAGAAATGCTAGAATTAGCTAAGAGTTACAATAAGGTAAATACCTATTTAATTCTAAATAACACAGTTATTTACTCATTATTAAATTTATTGCATGTAATTTTTAAAGGCTTTAGAAGACGAGGATAAAATGACACCAGAACAATTGGCTATTAAAAATGTTGGCAAACAAGATCCTAAGAGGCATTTGGAAGAAAAAGTTGATAATTTAATGTCTGGAAACATTGTTCAGTGTTTGGGTTCTATGTTGGATACTGTYGTATTTAAATAATACTATATTATGCAATYCTGGAAAAAAATATGGAGAGAAATAAATTATTTTAAACCATGTTTCAGAATTAAATGGCTAATATTTGTTTGCCGTTCCAATATTTCTAAGAATATTACACATAAGTTATAACTTTATTTTCTTTTTTTAATTATAAATAAATCTTGATTAATAAAGATTTTTATTCATATAATTTAAGCTAATATCATTGTTCTTAATATTAGGGCTTAACTTAAAATAGATAAATATTTTCAATTTTATTTTAAGGTATTAAAGTAAAAAGGAATAATGAGTGTAATAAATTATAATATTTAATAGTTGACTAACTATTCAAGTGTTTTCATATAAGTAATTGTAATCACATTTTTCTTTTAGTTACAAGTCTTTTAAGAATTGTCCTCACATTATCATATGTATTTATAAAATCAGTGGTGGCTTATGTATTGTTTTATAAGAAAAAACTAGCTTTAATAATATATTTTGAAATACTTTTATAAATAATAGGTCAATAACAAAAAGCTGAAAGCCAGCTTCACAAATATGAATAGGTTATCATTGACCTTGTAATTTGTTAAATTCAAATATGAACCTTTATAAATGTTTCAAAGTTTTTATACTCTTTAACTTCAGTGGSGTACACAAACCTATATAGATGATGGTGTGGGTGTTTAAGCCACTTGGTAATTTTTTTACTATACATGTGGTTATATAAAAATGAACAAAATAAAAAAATATTTTGGTTTAATATACTATTTGTTATAACCCCTCCCATTGGAAATATCTGTATATGGCACTGGTAAACTAACAGTACAGTCAAAATTTGTTTTGTTTTTTACTCTGATTATCTAGTTTTATTTTTTTTWAAATTCTATATGATTTATGTTCTTTAAAATTTGTTGTACAAACATTCTTAAAGCTTTTTGAATCATTATACTTATGTATAAGACTTAAATATTCTTATTCTTATATTATATTCTATTTCCTATTTCCTATTTCCATTAAAAATTTTGGGTAGTGGTTATTGGCTGTTGTTCATTTATTTGCTCATCTTTTTAAAAGTTGCTTCTGTTTGAAATGTTTAAAATTAATCCTCTAAACGCCTGTTGTACAAATATGTATTTCAGTTTCTTCATAATGAATAGATATTAAAATAATTAAGTTGTTTAATTCTGAAATAGATCTTGTAATAATTGCTTTGATGAAACTTGAAATTTGCATACTATTATTAGTATTTAAATATTTAAGAAAAAAAAAAAAACATTTTTTATTTTTTTTTGTTATCTTGACCGTTATTAATGACTACTTAAACTTATAGTACAAATAAATCATACATGTACAATATCAWTCATAGTTTTTACTACTTATTACTATGTATTTGAAAAGGAATACTGTTTGATACTGAATGATGTTTTGAACTTATGACACAAAAGTTTTTGTAATTTAGTTAATAAAATATAATGTTTTTCGGTAAARACGCAATGCACTAAATCTGTTATATTAACATAAATAATGTATACAACTTTACGTATTATTTAGGTATAGGCTGATCAATTATTGGTGGTGTTGATATTTCAAATAATACAATAATAATAAATTTATTATGGTAAATAAAAAATATACCCACGCAAACTAATTAAATTGTAATTAATCATGGATGTGAATATCCTTGTGCTGTGTGAGTAAGTAAAATATTAAATAATCCTCATTTTCAAGTTCTTTTTAATCAAATAAAATGACGAAGCAACTATGTTTGAAAAGTTGGATAAGTTAATAAAAATAGTGAAGTTGAGAGATAATGTATTGATAAGTAAGAGTTTTAGAAATTAACAGTTAAAAGTTGATATGATAAAAATAAGAATTAATCAAGTTTTAAAAAAGCTTATTTGCTCTTTTAAATTAGTGTTTTACACACTAATACAACTAATAACTACTATAATTATACCTATAATATAATATAATCTATTGGGTTACAATATAACATTGACAAATGTAASTCTATCTATTTTACTATGAGTCGTTCACCTATAATAAACGCATACTCAATGATTGGCGCAAGTATAGATATGGTCACTACTAAAAAAGAT